AGAAAGAGTTAGGGTAGTGTCCTTGGAAACAGGAGTGGACACACACACACATGCAATTTGTGGATCCACCTGGCAATTTTCGAGTGTGGGAGATGGAATTGGATTCTCCACCCTTCAGATCTGTCCAGAAAAGCCACCTCTTGCAAAGGATTGATCTACCGTATTTGCATCGAAATGATCAAGACCAAAGCTATACCAAAACTGAAACTATTGCCTCAGCTCCAAAGCCATCCAGATGAAGGGGTATCACAGTAGTATTCCTCTGAAGAGGGCACCGTGACAGGCTACATCATCCATCCGTCTCTCTTTGACGGCACCATCCACGCGGTCTGCGCCACGATGTTCGATCAAGATCCACCCTTCTTGAAGATCTTTGCGGGGGTTGGCAAGGTGACTGTGGTCACGAAGGAGGTGCCTGAGCTGGTTGAACCAGGCGTTCTATGCAGTATGGCGACGAGTGGGTATTATTATTGAAGATGTTTCTGAAAAAGAGGTCTGGTCTTGTTCTAACCAACGGAACATAATATAGACTATAGAATGTTCCTTCCAATATACTGAGTCCACCCATATCCACAGGTTTGTGTATCGCACGCATTAGGGTTTACTAGGATCACCATGTTTAGCGGGGAGCAGTTGGTTTTTATATCCCTCAAGAACTATTGGACCTCTTTTGATTCTTGTCTATTTCCAACGGGTTCCGCACTGGCCTGAACAACTAGCAGCAACTTGGGGTGAGATATTCGGGATGTGTGTCGGTGAAGTCACCGAAAAAAACCCTGCAGAGCGACCCAAAGAGGGCAGGTCTTGGAGAGTCGTAGCAGAAAGCCAAGGATGGAACAGTTGTCATTCCCCAGACCAGATTTAGACACATTTGGATATGATGGATAGAGACCACTCCATTCAGTTCTATTCTAGCTCATTCTGTCAAGAACACCAAGCACTTGAGTCTTGAGCTTGCTCGTGGCAGGCACCCAAAGATGAAGCAGTGATCTTGCACCTGAGCATTACCGAGAAGACAGACCAGCCACTGGCCAAGAGTGGAAGGGGCCCGAAGATGGGTCGCTCTTTGTCCTTGAACAGGCTAAACGGACATTGAGTGGATGAACTTCTGAATACATGAATACCATTCAATACCCAGTGTCTTGCGGGCATTCTCCTCTTTCCATGTGGAGACAGTCCTCCATGGAGATGCTTTCCCATTTTCCCTTTGAACAGTTTGGTGTTATTCGCCGTTCTTCCTGGGTGGATCTCCTGAGCATGGTGGATATGTTTTGTTCCGACTCTTGCCTTCCTATGGTCTTCAATGCACACTGTCCTGAGGCCCAAAAAACAAGACCAGCGCCTCCGTATGTACTGAAGTCTTAATTTTGGGAGGGACCTATGAACCATTGTTCAGGTCTCAAAATCCATCCCTTGAGAATTCCTGCTGGCGGTCGCGTGCAATCTTCCTGAATGAAGGACGTCCGTTGGAGTTGAGAGTCCCTGCTAGCTTGAGGTCTCAGACCTGGACTGAAATAGGAACCCTGTCAACGTGTTCCTTTGATATCCTTTGATGTTGCAACCTTCTACAGAATTCCAGGGGTTCTATCAATCTCCGTTTCGAAAGGATGTCTCACCCGAGGCAGCAGATCTTTACTTGCCAAGTCTTCACGGAGCAGGGTGCCCTCCTCTGGCGCTTGGAGGATGTGATCTTCCGCAAGGCGCGGAGCAGCAGCGGGGCTTTGGGGGCGGGGGTTGCACAAGCTGCACAGCTCGCACGGCCCGGTCTGATTTCTCATGACACGGTGAATGCAGTCCAGTTGCCGGTGAATGATTCCATGAAGGTGACACATCTACAATAAGGGAGTACGGAAACACCATATATATATTTTACATAGAGGTAATTACATACATACATGCACATATATATATATATATGCGTAAAACATATACAAATATCCATATAATTAATGAAACGGATTAGCATCTATGACCCAGTTTCATCGGATGATTCGGCATGTTTTCGGAAGCCGTGACGCTGGAGCAGAACTCGAATGGCAGGTTTTGCCTGAACAAATCCAGAAAGCTTTGGCCGCCACCAAGGCCGGAGTGGGATGCTTTTGGGTCCGTTGCGACTGGTACGGTCATATACGGTCATAGCATGCGCAGAGGAAGCCTTCCAAGACCACCTAACCATGCATGCCCAGTCACTTCAGTCTCCGCTCCTTACGTAGCTCCCGCAGGTTTGTGACCACCCAAACACGTCGATGTAACGCCAATGCGTTGACTCGCTTGCCACGGGCGAAGTGAGGCGAAGGACGCAGTGAGCTACTTTGAGACGTCCTGGAAAGCCTTCGGCGAGCTGGGTGATGCGGGTGAGGAACATGGCTTGCTGCCGCTGACGGCAGAGGGCAAATGGCTCTTCCAGGCGAGTTGGGGGAGTGGGAGAGCCGGAAGATAGGCGCTGTACAAGTACAGCTAACTTCCCAAAAAAGAATGAGTGTCAGTTTCTACATGCGTTTAGACAAGGGCAAGGGGCCTGGGAAGGTTGTGCGCGTTGGTGATTCTATTGGTTCTTGCAATGTGTTGCTAGTTGCAAAGGTGTGAGCCTGCCTACTGTCAGTGGAACTGTGTTTCTGCATGGCTTTGATGTGAAAGGATTCTTGAGTGATCCGCTTTTAGACCTTTTCCGTGGACTTGTGAAGCAAGGAAACTGTACAGGCTCGTACTGTGGATCATTCCGTGGTTTGCCCTTTCATATCCCTTATTCTGTCGTCTCACAAAGTGCAAATGTGCCAGGGGGGAGGATGCCCTCCTGAAGGCCTTGAAGTCTGACCTGGGAGCCTTAGCGAAGGGTCATGGTGTTGCGAGACAAGGTAATGCAAACCCGGGGAATTGTCGCTAGTGTTATCAGAGCAGGAGAAGTTGTTCAAGAGGCCATGGTGGTTTTTGATATAGACAGCTGCAGCTCTAGGGCAGTTGGATGCGGGCACCTGCGCGCAAGAGAAGTTCCGCGGGTGGTTTGGACAGTAGTTGTCACGCCAGTGTGGGCTGCCAAGACCAAGCCAGCAGAAACCATGGTAGGTGAGTCGCTTCTTGGCGCGGTTACCACATAGTCCCATACCAGTGCTGGTGTTCATTCTGGGTCCTGGATAGCGATTCCAAGGTAAGAGATCGATTTTCTTGGCCATCAGCAACAATGTTTGAATTGCCCGGCCATGGCCATACTGCCAGGGTTTCCGACTGGAGCAGTCCAAGCGAAAGGTGGGAGCACCACATTGGTTTGCAAAAAGCACGGAAGTAGGCGACTTTTGGGATTCCATGGCAGGTGTTCTGAAGACTGTTAATGTCACATGACATGATCTGACTTTGTTTCAGATGGCCATCTCGGCCAAGAAAATCCACCTAGCCACTTTGTTTGGTTGGAGGGTTGTTGAGCCCCCACGACCGGCGGCTAAGGAGACCATCATGGCTTTGTATCACCAGGCAAAGAGGAGGACCTCAGCGGCTTCGATCGGGTGATCTACATGCCAAGCAAGGAGACTCCCATGGAGGCCATTGAAACCGGACATCTTGGGAAGTCATGGCATGATGGATTGAAGATGGTTGAAAGGTTGCTGGAAAGGTGTTGAAGTTCTTTGGGAACCACCACACATGTGGGCCCCCCCCGATATGAGCTATTAGATGCCACACAACAGCCGTGCCGGGGCATGCCACACCATGCAAATGAGGAGAGCCATGCCCTTTGGTCTTTGTGATCCTTTCCTCTTGCCACGTGACTGGGGGGACCACCGAGCCCGTCCCAGGCCCTTTGTCAGGGCTTGAAGTTGATTCAGAAGGCGCGCTCCGTGAAATGGTCTGTGTTGGGTCCCATGCGACATGGTGTTGGTACCGTGGGATCAAAGATGACTGGAACATGTGGGAGGCCCAAAAGAGGATCCTCTCTAAAGGGAGATCCTGGCAAAACCAGAAAAGGTCCATCTCCATGAAGTGAAATATTTTTTTTTCTCTCCTTGCCGGTCCTTGCCTTTAAACTTTTTAGGATTCTTCTGTGTTCAGACTATTTTTCTCTGTAAGGTGTGTGCAATTCGGATCTACTCGGAACATCCTGGAACTTAGCAATCATTGCATGTTGTCGGTCAACCCTCTTCCTGATCCGAAGGACTCCTGGTTGGGCGGCATATATGATGTTATTCTTGGCAAGATCACACGACTTTTGACTTTGACGCTTCTAGTGGGTCCGTGACCAGAAGCAGACCCGCATGCCTACGAAGAAAATTAGTGCGCAAGTCTAATTGGAGCCAACTTCAGCTCGAAGGCTGTTCTGACTGATGCTACTCAGCAGCCTCGAAAAGACCTTGTTTGGACCCTCATGAAAGATGGCTCTGATTTCTTCTCCCAATTCGATGGACACACAGCGGCAGCAAGCCACACAGTTAGAATCAGTCGAACCCTGCCTATACAAGACCAACACAGAAAACTACCCCAACAATTAGGTTCATTTACTGTAGATCTCATTCCTGGACCTTGGGCTTGTTGGAGTGAGGGACAGCAAGCTAAGATCATTTTGAAATCTCACTCATGACATAAGGAACCTTTGCAGAAGGGATTTCTTCTTGGACAGGCTCAGCGTGCAGATCCGGCACCAGAAGTCTGGTTTGTGCTTCGCGGCACTCAGGTGCCGTGGTTGCGACAAGATCGAGCCTAAACACCCTAAACATGCTACCTTGAATGGAGAGGATGGGTTCTCCTGGGCACGCATGCACACCACAATTCATCCTCCATTCCTGCAGTGGAAAGAGGGGTATGCGGTATGCACTTAAGTAGTATGAACATGTATGAAATGATCCAATTTATTCCAATACCAGACAATGTTTTTCTTGCCTGACCCAGTGTAACTTCCTCTAATAAGAGTTCTGCTGCTTCTTCTACCAACTTTGTGCACTCACCGTACCCCTCGAGCACCGCGCCTGGAACGCTCGCTCCCAGGCCGTGCGGGCGGAGGAGTTGAAAGGCCAAGCAGTGCCGCTCTTTGCTGGACTTTGGGGCTTGGCCCGTTGCCTTCGCTTGGAGGTGCCCACCGTGCCGTGTCTGACGCTTCCAGGTGATCCTCTGGTTCGAAGGGACAACGGATGGACCAAATCCCCAGGTGCATGAGTTGCCTAGAATTGAATAGAATTGAAGGCACACTGGGCCTGGGCGGGCTTGACGTCGTTAAACCTCCCAGAGCTCCGTTTTTTGTCCCATCAAAAGAGCATGTGCTTAGAGTTTCACACCAAATCCAAATCGTCAACTATAATGTTTAATAGCTCTTTGTTTTATATAATTGTTTTGCCCACCACCGCAGAAGGTCCGCATGTGCCACTTTGCACTGGCAGGTCCCAAATGCCGTGTGTGGCTGCGTGGATCTGGGACCTTTGCCAAAAGATGTGAAAGCAACAGAGCTGTTGAAGAGGTGCGAGACGGACAGAAGACACCATGAACTGGATCATGAATCTTTCAGTTTTTGGTCTTTCCTGGTGCGAAAAGGTCTGGTACCCAGCGGTTCCCCTTAGGGATCATGTTCCAAAAGCATCGATTTTGGCGGGTCTTGAGGGAAGCCCATGTTCTTTAGTTATGTTTGACGGTGAGGATCCACCATGTGTCGAAAGATGGATTCATGGAACCACAGGTGAAATGGTGATGTCGAGTCTATCGAGTCGTGGGTAGGCCTTCATAAGTGATTTGTTCAATTCTTACCACACGGTGATACAGTGATACCCAATCAATGCAAATGTCGGTGAACAACTCATACAGGAGCAAGAAGCTACTAGTAACAAGGGCATCGCTACTAGGAGCAAGGACGCTACTAGGGGCTCCTGGCATCGCTACTAGGACTTAGTGACCAAGTTACCCTCCGCGGGTGGAAATGGCCCCCGCCATGGACTCATGGACCCGCCAGGCTCCAGTCGCTGGAGACCCGGCGACAGGGCAAAGATGGCCTGGCCACTTTGGATGAAGCCATAGGTGGCCGCGTTGGGGGAGTGGATCAAAATGAAGGACCATGAAGGACCCCCTAAAGTGCTGAAACATGAGACTTCCTGCCTAGAGATCCCGATAGTGTTGATCCTTGGCTTGCTGCGTTAGTCATTGCAAAGCTTTGGAGATGAGATCCCAACACATTGCAAGTGGTGGGCTTTACACCATTCATGACATGAGCTACCAACAGCTGTGTGGGAATTGGGGTTGTAGCCAATATAGGGATGTCCAAGAAAAAACACCTTCAGACATGTTGACTCCTCCGCACCCTCACCGTTCCCAAGGAAGTGGAGCCGGAAGTGCTCATTGGTGACGGACTGCTGGTCTCACGCTTGGAGGAGACCACTCCCAAGTTCCTGGTCGTCATCACGCATTGCGTTGTTATGCACGTGATTCACAATCAGTCACAGGTCAGTTGGACCGGAGGTCTGGCTGGCATGGCCTGGCAAATCTGTTTGGAGGCCATCGCTCTCAGGTTGGAGGCCATCGCTACTAGGTTGGAGTGTGCAGCCAAAGGTCGAGTTCGATGTCCTTGTCGTTGAGTTGGAAAGGAACAGAAGGGGAAGTCCCTCGGTCCCTTCCATGTTGGTTTCTGAAGCGACCAACCAAAACAGAACAACCTAGTAGCGTCCTTGCTCCTAGTAGAAAGGCCAGGAGCCCCTAGTAGCGTCCTTGCTCCTAGTAGTGTGTCGGCCTTGAGGTTTCAAGAGATCGACTTGGAGAATTACCGTCTCTCCGCGGAGTGAGGGGATGGTGGGCGCTTGGTGGGTCTTTGTATGTGGAGGCTCTGTGGAGGTAGCTTGTGTGTGTGTGTGTGTGGCAAGGACCGCATTTGACCTTCAGAAAACATCAACCAGGTCATGATTGAATATATTATAACTATCACAGCTTTACACTAGTAAGCAGTTGGACCTATATATTGTATATATATATATACAGTTGGCATGGGAAAACACACACGCTGCCCGAACCTGTTGGTTGCTGGTGGTCGTTCTTCGGGGGAACACTGGCTGTTATGACTCTTATGGACGAGTTGTTGTAAAGCCTTCGATACTGCAAGCAGGGATGTATATAACAAGTGCATCGCTACTAGTAGCAAGGGCAAGGGCATCGCTACTAGTAACAAGTGCATTCCTACTAGTAACAAGGGCATTACTACTGTGTTTATTGAGTAAAAACAGAGTAAGTTTACTGTTCCACCCGTCTGGAAGGTCTTGTCTGGAGCACGTTCATGGCGAACGTCTGAGATCGCCCAACCTGGTTGGGTTGTTACTACTAGTAAGGCACCTGTTACTACTAGCGTGGCACTTGTTTCTAATAGCTTCTTGTTACTACTAGTAAGGCACTTACATCAATATCACCTCTCACCTCATCAGCTTCCCCTGTCCAAATGTTGAGGCTTGGAGGATGGGAGCTACGGTCTCACTGGCGGTACTGGTGGCCTGGGCTTGCTCTTCGGCGCCTTCTTCGCTGAGAAGGGAGCCACACATCTGGGGCTCATCTCAAGAAGCGGCAAAGTGGCGCAGGATTTGTTGGGTTTCGGTCGAGGGATGTTGGGGAAATTTCTCAGGTGATTGTTCCCATACGACATAATACACCCAGAGAAGCAGAACCCAAACGTTTCTGCGAACGAGGGCCTGTTCCGTGACGCTCAGTTGCGTACTCAGCTGGAACCTTGCTGGGACCTCGAGAAGAGATTCCTTCATTTGTGCTCAAAGTTACGCCAGGATCCGGCCTCTCAGAGCACTTACCAGCGTCTCCTGGATACCAAAGCGCAGATCTCCTTGAAGGCCTGCGATAGCGCGCAGGCTGAGGCGCGGATCCGGCTCGGACACGGCCCAAGGGTCGGGGGGCGTGGAGGCCACTGACCTGCGGTTGACTGTCTTAATCCATCTCAATCCCATTGTTTGTCTAGCGAATGGTAGTGCCGCTGAGGTGACTAAGTATGGATGAAAAAGCTCTATAGAGTCAACACGGACGTATCTCAAAAGAGGGCTGGCAGGTTTCAAGCTCCCAAATACTCCCTGAAACTGAAAGTCACTATTAGTGGCCACCTTGTTTTGGATTCTCTATGGAGAACGCACTCCTTGTTCCAGGGACAGAACTATGACCGGCATGGAAAGTAGACAAGCCTCGATTGACTTGCGGGTCCTTTCGTTGAGACACAGCTCCGGGGATCCCAAAGCAGGGTGTTTCAGGTTGGAGTTGTAAGCTCCGTCAGGCGGTGACTGCTTGCTTGAAGGAGCTGACGCCAGGAATGCAGAGATGGTGAGCCGGAAGGGATTGGTTCTCCACAAGGAAGGGTTTCTTTTTGGAGAGCCCTGAGTTTCTTCAGTGAAGGGACCGGTGCTTTCAACATACAACTTGTAGAGCTAGCGGGCCCCTGGATTTGGTATTCCGCGGATCATTTCGGACCCGTTGAAATTAAGAAAGGTTTACTGAAAGGCTTAGTGACTTAGCGCATTGAAGCTGGTTCGAGGTAGGTGCCAGTTGACAGCTTTCCGAGTTGGATGTTCGGTATTGAACCCTTGCAAAAGCTTGCCTCAATGCCAGACGTTGAACTTCATGATCCGGCTTTTTCAGGTGTTCTGATTGTTTGGTGGTTCCAAACAATGATATCTCTTGTGTCAACAGGAGAGACCTGTTGCAAGGGCCAGGTAGTTGAAGGCAATGATTTGACCGATCCCTTGACGGTATACCTTCTACCTTTAGTTGACGGGAGCGGAGTCAGACACTCTGCTGCCAACAGACATCTTGTCTCTATTCTATTTTCTGTAATTTTCCTTTCAGAGACGAGTATTAAATAAGAGGCAGTGTGAGGGCAGGTAGCTCACCAGAGGCTTCCTGCAGCACAGCACTGCTATGAGTCGTTGACCGCACGGCGGATGCCCTTATCCGCCCGCCGCAAGGAACGCTGAGAAACCACTCAAGGGCCTTCTGCACGCCGCTGGCGTCCGGGGCCTGAGTCCGCCGAAGGTTAGTCCGTCGGATTGGCAGCTTTCAGTCCGTTGGATGTGCAGGAGCCGTTGGTCTGCTTTCTTCTGTTCCGGAGCCGTTACCCTTCCAAGTGTAGCTTGAGAACACACCAGGGATCGAGTGGTTGAGAGTTTTCAGTAGAAGATCATTCGGCGAAGGTAGGGTGGTTTGCACAACAACAGTGGTGTATGCTATGTTTTTTGCACTCTGCTTTCTATCTGGCCATGATTTTGGCCATGATTTGGGAACAGTGGTCCAAGAACACCCCTGTTTGCCAGCTACCAGATTAGCAAAAAGGACCCCACCCATGAGACACAATGCCCCCGAATCCTCCCGGGACTCTAACTTTTGACGGACGCTGATGCCAAGCATGGTAAATCCAAGTAACTTCGTCCTACGTGGTGAAACTAAGTGCCACCCAGTGACTGTCTGTAGTGATCTTTAATCTTTTGTAGACCAACTTTTCAAACTGGACCAGATTGTCTCAAACCCATCCTCGCTTCCAAGATCACAAACAGTCTTAGTATGAAGCCCATGCTGTCATGCACCACGCTTCGACCACCCTCTCTGCATAGGTGCTGGATGATCACCTCATCATGGACTTAGAAGCTCAACACTTCACTCCGGTACTGAATCCCAAAATTGATGGCACTCTGTGGGGAGACCCAGAGGTCAAGTCCACGGCGGCGTTCTTGCCATCAGGCGTCGTGTACAAGATTGTCAAGCGCTTTCCTTTGTGCACAACGGTTTGGCCTTCAACAGAAAGAGCATCGACCACCATCTTTGGCATGCGTGGGCGTAGATTTCTCCTTGGAAACTATATAATTGTGATTATGAACAAATCTGGGTCAGAACCTCATGTTCGGTGAGGACAATCCAAGCATCAACAGAACCGTTTGCTGGCGATTGTAAACCACAGGATACCAATGGATACCACAGGTCTTGGGTCTTGAGTTTTGGTGTGTTTTGGCCAGGGCCACATCCAAGGGCTTGGCTTCTTTCCAAAAAATGCCACTTCACTTCATGTCTTCATTGCAGCTCCATGGCCGGTTTTGTGTTTATCTTTGCCAGTCAGTTGCACTAATTTAACTCGTGGCGTTGCAAGGAACCTTCACAACGCGCTGAAGAAGCTGGGATTGGAAGGAGATGGCAAGGCAGGATGGGATTGGACCCGGCCCAGAGCTCCTTTTGCGAGGCCGCCGGTGTAGGTATGTGTTCCGGAAAACCGATGCCTGCCTGTTTTGGTTTGGGAGAAATCAGGGGGGGTGCAGATGGATTTATAACATATATATATATACATACACATACATTTTTACTTTGTTTTGGTGTCAGTCTACTCATTTTTCACTAATTTTGGTTTATGCGAGGCCGGGCACATGAGGACTGACAACGGACTTGGGAAATAACCACAACCACGATCCGCAAGACATGTTTGGTTGGCTACAAAGCCTGCAAGAAGGATGTTCCCCCATCTCCATGGTGAGTGGTCTTAACTGAAGCTTTCCCGTTGGGACAAATGGTTGGCTCACATGTCTTTCCATCAAGTGCCCCTTCTAGTTGATGGTGCAAGTTTTGCGGCATGTTGCGGCTATTGTGCTGTTTCTGAGCTTGCGATTCGGTACGTGGGGGTGTCCCCCCCGACCCAGCAATAGCTCCCGAAATAAGTACTTATCACTGATCACTCTCTAAAAAGGGGTCCCTTTAGGAACCATCCCAGCCCAGGGAAACCTTGCCCATATAGCCACAGCTACATGGGTCGTTTGACTGTGGAACTCCCAAAGACTTCAGCAAAGGGACATGGGAGACACTGACGTTTCAAACTGATTGGTTAGGGGCTGGCAACCTGTTGGTCGGCCCCCCCCCTCCCTCTCCCTCCCTCCCTCTCTCTCCCTCTCTCTCTCTCGGTCTTTCTCTCTCTCTCTCTCTCTTTCTTTCTTTCTCCCTCCTCTCATCCAGATCGCAGGTGAACATGTTTGCACTCTTCTCCTCGGTTGCAGCCATGCTGGGCTCGCCTGGACAGGCATGGAGGGAAGGTTGCTGCGTCAGCCATATGCATAGCAAACAAGTGGTTGAGCGGGTAAGTCCCTGAACATTCCTGAACTACCCATTGTACCCATGCATTCCATTTACTCATGACCACTGACCACCCGTTTACGACACCATCACGAAGTCTCGCTGGGAGGCCAACTACTGCTCTGCCAACACCTTCCTGGATGCCTTTGCCCTCCACCGCCGCGGGCAAGGCGGGGGCTGGGCAAGATCCAGAGGAAGGAGGCTTGCAACTTTGTTCACAACTTCGCTGGAGCACTTTAAACAGAGTCAACTGGATGGGGTGATCCATTTTTTGGAAATACAGTAAACAAATACTTGGACATACTTGGACTATTTTTTTTTTAGAACCTCAAAATCCTTCAGGATCTCCGGAGGCCCCCTCTTGCCGGCCAAATGACAACCTTGCAGCCTTACATGTTTTTGCTTTAAGCAGAGCTGGTGGCGCAAGACCTGGTGTGTGTGTGTGGCATGGAAGAGAAGTGTGAGTCGGAAGTCAGGGTGTAACCAGTGAGTTCATGCCACAAGCTACATTGATTTTCCATATGCTTTGTGTCAAAAATGGTGGCCACCGCACGCACTGGGGCCACATCACCAAGCTTCAGATATGGAAAACTGTTGTAACATGTTGTAAAGCAGCTGCGGGGCTCAAAGGCCCGAAGGCTCGGGCGTGCGGTCGCCCAGGGCGGGTTGTGCGGCCCCAAGTCGCAGGTCCGTGTCCATAAGGTGGGTGCGAACACCCACCCCCGAAGGTACACGTGGCTTGTGACTGTGGCGGTTCGCTTTCGGTTCACGTGGGTTGCCATGGAAGCTGCTTTGGCCATCGCCGAGAGCATTCTCAAGGATCCTTTGAAAGTTGAGCTGCGCTCCATCCTGCACAATGTATCGACTGCTGGGCCGCACCTGGTCTTGGATGATCGCATTGTGTTGGGAGGAGAGGTCGTTTCCGTACTGCAGGAAGAGCTGGTCTTGGCCATTTTTCCCTTCAAGCCGATGCGAGGGCTTGAAGCTGCCCCATGTGATGAAAAAATGGTGAGGGTGAGGATTCCGGGACTGGGTGATCGATCCATTCATACAGTGCCTGGAGTTCAAATCATGTGCGCTGGAAAACCGATTTTCTGGGATGACATGGTATATGAGTTTGGTGCCAATGTGGCGGTCACCTTCAGGCCGGAGATCAGTGACGCGATGCCGTGGAATTTCCTCCACCTTTTCAGTGGCTCATTCGGAGGATGGAGCCAGGCGGCTTCCTTTCTGCAGAGGACTGACCAAGGCTTCTCAGTGGGGCAAGAAATCTCTGTCGACAATGACGAAACAGTTATGCAGATTTGGAGTGCCCAAGTTGGCTGCCAACATCTTCGAGGACCGCTGCCTTATGATACGAAGTGGTCGCCTGCTTCAAAGATTGGCATCCTCACGTCAGTGGGGGATTGGTCGCTGGCAAATGTGTGCCGAATTCAGACAAATCTTTGCTGCACAGTTTCGCCTCCATGCCAAAGTTGGTCGAAGGCTGGTCGACGATTAGGGCTGCAAGATAGCAATGGATGGGCATTCATTGATGCCATCAAAATGATCGCCATCGTACAGCCAATCACGATTGCAGCGGAGTGCAGTGATGAAATCACTGAGCACCCTCATTTTAAGATTCTTGAGGCACTCATTCACTCGCTTGGATTTCGGCGAACGTGGACGCAGGTCACACCATACCAGGCCCTTGCTGACCATGCTCGGTCGCGTTGGTTATGCACCTGGGCTCGAGCGGATGTGCAGGCTCAACCCATTGGATTTACATTCACTCTCAAGGCCTCTCCCAAAACACCATGGGATGATCCAGTGTATCACTTTCGGATTCCTGATGTTTGGGTCAACCAACTGGTCCTTTCTGAGTCCGAAAGAGCCATATACAATGATCCTCAACTTCTCCCAGGTGGCAAGCGAAAGCGTCCTGATGGGGACAACCAAGCTGCGCACCACACGTTGTGGGCTAGGGTCCCCAATGGACATGAGGCTCTTCCAACACTCTGTGCATCGTATTCATCCCAGCACACCCTTGCCAAGTGTCATGTGCAAGACAGAGGATTGTTCGCTTTTCTGAACCACACCAGCCGGGGTTTTGAATTTTTCGACCCTGCCAGGTTTTGTGGACTTCTTGGAGTTACTGAGGACAGAACATTCCCCACTAAGGTGCAGTCCGCCTTTCGAGGCATTGGAAATGCGATCTCTGTGCCTCATGGCCTGTTGGCGATCTCGATTGCGATGCACACAGTTGGCCAAACCAATGTAGATCCGCTCAAAGCCGTTCGGCAGGCATGGCATGCTCGCTTATGTGCCCGCAATGCAGTCCTTTTCCATCATGATGCTTTTGTGCATTTGATTCATGTTGATCATGTGGAACAATGGGTCTCCATGAAACCTGTGCCGGAAGTCACAGATGCCTGCTGTGTCCTGATCCAAGGGTCGTTTGGTCATTATCAAGTCAATGTCCATGTCCCGCAAGAGACAACGTGTGGACAAGCTCTCCACATGATGTTTGCAGGTCCTCAAGAGCTTATTGACATGATCGCTTTCCGTGCGCATGATAGCAATCCCAACAAGCATTCGTGCATTGCCCAGCTTGCAGATCCTGGCACCAGCTGGGAGTTCGTTATTGCCGGAACCCCCATCGGGTCATGTTCGATAGTCATCGTGCCGAAAACTGAGGTCATCGAAGTTCCTGATGATGATGACCACCTCATTGACAAGATCTACCAAATTGCTGAGGAAATGCCTTTTGAGGATACATGCAAGCAGCCATGGTTTCAGAACGTCCTCTCCTGCTGTGATCGGCTTTCACCTGGATATGGCACTTCGCAACGAGTTGTATTCCTGCATTCGGTTGGACAACCTGACTTCCAGGTCGTTGGCAAAGGAAGTGAACTCACATCCATCTCCTACGAGATTGCTCGTGCCTGGAATGGTCAAGTCATTGAGGTGCCAAGTGAGCGGGTTTTCCTCACTCATCTGGTTTGTGGAACTGATGAGTCCACTGACGGGCAAGTACAGGTTGCCATATATTCTCAAGCACACGACATGTTTTGCCTGCTTCACTTGCCGTCAAGCATCCCAACAAGGACCAACTTTGAATGGAAGGAGAAGGTGCTTCTCATCAAAGCTGTCAATGGGAGACCGCCTCAGCAACCATGTATCCGGCTCCATGCAAATGATGTGTTGAATGTGGGAGTTGATGAGGTCATCCGTGCGGGAGGGCATCATGAGGCACCAGGCCCAAGGCCATCTTTGCCTGCAAGTGCCCCCTTTGTCGACAGAGCAGAGTTCATGTGCAACACGCAGGGATGGATTGCTAGTGATGAAATGGCAATGTACACACAGGAGATCCAGTGGCATCAGATGTTCTACAAGTTCACGCCACCTGTGTTCTGGGACCCACATGAGGATGAATTTGAGTTCCCTGAATCTGGTGAAATTCATATTTTCAATGGCTGCACAACGGTGGTTCCGATCCTCATCACGAACCATTGGAGTGCGGTTGAGATTCATCGTGGGGAGCATGGCACAAGAGTTGTCTTTGTCCAGGTCCAACAGAGCATTCGCACCAAGTTGACTCATCTGGTAGCCCGACTCTTGGACATTGCCCCGCATCGCTTTGAAGTTGCTTTTGAAGGTGATGCTGTTCCACCCCACTTATGTGGCTGGCTCCTCTTGTATCGCTGGATCGCCCACTTCAACATGCACAACAACTTAGCCAACCAGGTCAATCAGTCGCCGCTGCCGCGGCATGTGCTGGAAATCATTGAGACACGCATACAATGCTCTGTTGAAGACTGGCGCCGGTGCAATATGCCACAAGATGTTGCCCAGGTTGCTTTGCAGCTCCGACGCAATTTCCTATGGCACCGAGCACGACGTGAGGCCATTGGCCAGCCTGTGATCCAACCACGGTTGACAGTTGCTATTCCGACACCGCAACCAGTTGTTCGTGAGCAACCACAAGAACCACCAAGTGCCATCACCGAGATTCTGGCAAGGCTTCATCATTTTCAGCAATATTCAGGTTGGGCAGCTACTGATGAAGTTGACTACACGATGGACCTTCTGAGATCACATCATCCAGAGACTTTGTTCTGCCCACCGGCGGTCTGGCTTCCCACACGATCCGAGTTCATGTATCTCAACGATTTTGCGCCGGACATCTCGTCCTACAGCCATATTTTCTGGAATGTCGTGACTTTGAACCATTGGGTGCAGATTGAGTTGTATCTTGCCCCGGAGAATGCAAGGTTCTACTTTACAGTGCCCAACTCAATTCAACAGACGCTGCTTCCTTTGATCAACTATATCATTGGTATTGCACGAGTTGAACCTGAAACTGTCACTGTCGAGACAATCCATCAAGACACACCGCATGGATTGTGTGGGTATCATATGCTGCATCAGCTTTTTCACAGGGTCTCCTTGGATTTTGCGCCTCTTCGTGATCCACAACTCCAAACGATTTGGAGGCACCAGCTTGGAGACGAGCTTGAGGAAATCAGAAATGAAGCCCGACTTGTGTGGCACAACTCAGGTGCTGAGGAAGAGCTCATTGATTTCGCTGCAAATGTCCGTGACTGGTTCCTCATTCGTGTCCTGGAACGACGCTTCCCTGAACACTACATTGCTGGTGGGGCCGTTGAGGATGTTGACATGGCTTTGCACGATGCTTCAACCAAGAGCAAATCCAAAGCCTCCGAGGCTTCTCCGGCAAGTGGTGGTGCGAGTTTCAGCAGCAAGGCACCTCCTGATCCATGGCTGCACAATGATCCGTGGTCCAAGCGGCCACCAAGGCCCTCACAATCCAAATGGGAGGATCTTGTGATCAAAGAGCCTGTCCCCTTCATGGACGAGCGCGACAAGCAGTTGAGTCAAACACACCGATTGCAATTGGCTCCGAGCCGTGGGGGAGTCGTACTGGCAACTAAGTCACACCTGCCAGAGATTTCGAAGATTCAGGCTGCCCCACATTTATGTGTGCTGATTCCTGCATCGGACTCGCCGAGCTTGGCACATCTTGCCAATCGGATGGAAGGCCCTTATGAGGTCTCCCTTCATGACAACACTGCAAAGATTTCATACAAGCGCCTGGTGCACATGATCGTGTTTGCTGGAAAAGTCAGGTTCCAATTGCCTGAGGCTACCTACAAGATGACAACACCAG